GTTGCCAAGGCCGATGCACAGCCATTATCAGCTGGGGTGTTGAAGACTGTGGCAGATAAGCAAGTATTGTCGTGTATACGGAGTAGGACATTTTATGCATACCTGCATGTCTCTCTTACGTATGAAAAGACATGAATCAGGAAAAAACGTCACAGCCTCAGATTCTTTGGGTTAGACGATTAAGGATAAAGCTTAACAGAACTTGGGACATGAGAAACAGAGATAGATGTATGTTAGGAGTAGATATGGACTAACTTTTACAGAATGGAGAGAAAAATCCAATCAGGCATACTACTTTGATCACTGACTGAGAGTAGAAGAGTAAAGTGGGAGCAGCATATGATCCTGACCGGCCAGAATCATATCAAGGCAGGATGTTGACACAGGAAAGCACAGGAGAAGATGCTAAGCTACCTGAGCGCAGGCTGTGGAAGCGGGGTACTACTGGAGCGAATAGCAGATCGGCGCAACAATTGGCGCAAGACTATGCTCAGTATCGAAGTCTGGGCTAACAAGTAGACTTAGGACATCAAGGGGTCATCAACGGCATGATGAATGGCCCAGAGGAAAGTAGGACGCACGTCCTCTAATTCGGCATGACCGACCTTCCCGCAGAACCAGACGATACTTACCCCCGGATGGAGTCACTGCTATCCAAAGTCTCACGAGTATGCCCAGGGCTTTTGCAATAATAAAGATCAGATCTTGTGCACGGGCAGGCAGGCTGAGGGCATCTCGAGGTAGACGTATGCGGAGGTCGTAGACAGGGGCTCATAGACGGACGGCGACTCTTCCTCACTTTTTGACATTAGGCAAATGCTCTGACAGTTAAGGAGGTTCCTACTCAGAATTCCCTAACTGATAATCCACTTTAGGGCGGCCAAAATTTAAAAGACCCGTTCTCCGTGGCATGAACTTTTGTAGATAGTCAGTGGCAACGGGGCTTAGTCTTCCAGTAAGTGGCTCAAGGCAAGTTCAAAGCAGCTTGGTGAGGAGTGAAGTATGATAAACCAAGAGTCGCTACCCTGAAAGTACTTCAATAGCGGCGCATCAATGCCTGATCTGAAAAGATTATCCCTTTGAAGGGAATAGGTAAGCACAGCCTCCAAGTCGTGGGCATCTCCATAGAAAATAGCCTTACAAGTTCGTCGAATGGAATAAGCCAACTCATATATCAGAGTTGGTAATCTCTGGTAATACTGAAGTCAGTGGTCGTAGAGTGGCTGTATCTGCCATCACTAACACCATATATCCCTCTGCTTTTCAAATAAGCTCAACTTATGAGACTGCTAGATATTAACTGCCATTAAATAGAAGACGGATTGGTATTTACTCAGAAACTAGAGTATAGAGCAAGATTCTAGTAATAGGTAGTAAGGAAAAAATAGAATGGGACCTACAGCTTTGGTGTTAGGAAAGGGAACAAATAGATGGAAATCTAGTCAAATGGAATTCAATACTCGACCCGCAACCAAAATAAGTGGCAATCAAACCAGGAATAGAAAAAATACGGTAGTGACACGAACAGGACAAGGATAACTAAGAATAACAAAATTAAGAACCATTTTTTTTTATTTTTTTTTAAATATATATATATCTGATTTTTTATGGTATCATGTATTTATATGATTCAATAAATATATCGGTTATATTTTTATTATCATCAAAGGGCTGTGATACCAGACAAGTGAACAGACGACAGAGATGAGCGACAAAAAAGAGTGCAAGAGACGGCTGGAGCGAGATCGACGAGTTGAGGACTGAGACGAGCGAGACGGCTCGGGAGACGAAGAGGCAGACGTGCAAGGACGAAGACGAGCGTCGAAGCGAAGAAACAAGGACGGCGGAGGAGATCAACCAGCGATGATCCAAACTAGTGTTTGACCCATAACCCTAGAGGTGTAGCTCTGATACATTGAAGCTTGGGTAACCAGCTTGGGGAATGATAGAATATCACCCCCTATTTATAAATGAAGATTAGGGTTTACAAGAAAGGCAATTACAAGATGATCCCTGAGTACTATCCCTGAGTGCATAAAATGATTACAGACAGACCCTAGTGTACCTTTCGGCTAATATAATATGCTAACACTTAAAATAATATGCTAACACGACCATGCTAAGTACGCTACTCCGAACTGGATCATACTCCACATTCAGGCTTTCCAAGAACTTGAAGACCCACTCTTGCTCCACAAACTTCCGATAACCAGCAGAATCAGTGGTACAGACAAGCTTGTAATCCTGAAGGTGATCGAGTCACTTCCACTCCTTACTAAGAAAAGTAAAATACTGGAGGATAATCATCTCACCTTGTACCGACCTTTTAATGGAGCGACGTAACCGGAAAGCCTAGGAGAAGTTCCCCTTCCTGGAGTAAGTAGTAGTTACTGCTTCCCAAATATCCTAGGCAGTGTCAATAGACAAGTAGCCCTCTCCAATCTCCGGTACCATAGAATGTATCAACCAGCCCATAATCAGAGAATTGGTGATCTCCCACTGATCATAACGAGGTATGTGGTACTGGGTGCCTGTCCCCTCCCATCAACATATCCCATCTTCCTTCTGCTCTTCAAGAAAACAGTCAGACTCTGAGACCACGCTAGGTAATTTTGACTATTGAATGGAGAGGTGGTGATTTTACAGCCAAGGTTGAGGTTATCAATCATAGTAGAAGGAATAACAGAACTCTAGCCCTGAGATGGCTGAGAAGTAGTAGATTCACTAGTCAAATCTACCATGGAGACTACTAATTACTCCTCGAACACAATGCTAATCACAAACTCGGAATATGATAGTGGAAGAACAAGCACAACGGTCACTATGGAAGCATAGAGAATTAAGAACTCAATATAAACCCCCTTTCTTTTTTCTTTTTTTTTTTAAGTTTTTCATCACCAGAAGATCCCAAAAAGGAAGAAACGAACTCAGGCTACCCTAGAAGGGCTGCTGAACTCGACCAGACCAGCAAGGAGATTGGTCGGCCACCTGGGGGCCCTCGATAGTGGCTGAAGGGGCCTGCCGAGGGAAAAGAAAGGGAAGACTGGGGGTGTCGGGGGGAGACCAAGGCCTAAGTAGGGTTGGAGGAGGCTGTCAGGCGTAGAGGAAGAAGGGAAGAGGCTGTCGGGTGGCTAGGAGGAGTTACAAGGATGTGTCGTATGGTAAGAAGGAGAGATGAGGCAAGTGGTGGTGATGGGTGGCAAAGAAGGAGAGATGGCTAGGGCATGGCTCTAATACCATGTAAGTTTAGAGAAGAAAAAAAGATAGGGAATGAGTGAGACCTCATCCCCTTTTATATTGATAATAATGCGTAATTACAGGAGTGCCATCGGGCATAATTTATGGACTAGCCCATTATATCAATTAAGGGAAAATAAAATCAAATAAGAATAAAATATATACAATATTATTTCATATTCTAACATTTATTCTAACATATATCACATGTCAACAGTGCACAAGCAGGTGGCACAGTTATTCTGGACGTTTAACAAGTTCACAGCTTAAGCCAAACTTTAAAAAACTAATAGGGTGAATTACATTAATAGTTCTTATAGTTTGGGGCTCGTGTTACTTTAGTTCCTGACTTTTTTATTATAACATATTTGATCTTGAATTTTGAATCTTGAATCTGGTTCCAAATAAAGACAATTGAAGATACCATTGCTCAATTTGAAGGGCAAAGTCGTCAATTTGATAAAATATAAACTAATTTGACAAAAATAAATGTCAAAAATATTTGTGAGATTTTAAAAATTATTGCTGCCCACCAAAGATAAAATTATGTAAAATTGATAAATCTTTTACATATTTATTTATTTTACCAAATTAATTTTTATTACGTGTTTGGATGATAATCATGTAATAGGTGGTTGTTTAGACTTTTAATATGTAATCAATACATTTAATATATGAAATGCTTTTAGTTTTGAATTTTTTATTTAATGAACTAGTTTAATAATGGTATCAAAGTTGTCGCCATATTTGACTTTCGGAAAAATAGAAACTAATTTAATGAAAATAAAAACAACCACCCATTGCATGATCATCAGCCAAACAGATAACAAAAATTAATTTGGTAAAAAAAAATTAAATAAATGTTTAAAAATTTTATCAATTTTACATAATTTTATCTTTGGTGAGTAGAAATAATTTTTAAAAATTTAAAAATATTTTTTTGACATTTATTTTTTTCAAATTAGTATATATTTTATCAAATTGATGACTTTTTCCTTGAAATTGAGCAATCGTATTTTCAATTGTCCTTATTAGAATAATATTCAAAATTCAAAGTCAAATGTGTCACAATTAAAAAGTCAAGGACCAAAGTGACACAAGCCCCAAACTATAGGGACCATTAGTGTAATTCGCTCAAACTAATAACAAATAAAGAATGAAACAATCATTCTCACCAAGCATACTACATGCATTTGTTAACACATAATGAAACAATTTACGAATCGCCCATCATTGTCTTGCATAATTATTAAGTTACTTGTACCATTGCATAAATTGCTTAACTTAGATTCCAGGAATCAAATTCATCTACAAAATATTCCAAATCTATTCTTGAAATTATCATAGATTGACAGAACCTGTCAATATTACTGGCTGCTCAACCTTTATCACATTGTTTCACAGAACAATTACCATGTAACTCCGAAGAAATTCATGCTGCCAATGGTGGTTGCTAAATTTTAGAATTATTTGAACAAAGTGGCTGCCTTTATGCTCAAACTTCCATTTTTGTGCTCAAAAATCTGAGCATTACCGTGGCAGCTGAAGCCAAACAAACCAAACATATCACCATTGGTATCCAGCCATAATTATGAATTAAAACAAAGGCTAGGAATGATAGGTAGTTAAAAGTGCTTCACTCTGCACTTTCAATGATCAACCGTAGAGCAAACATGCAATTGCAATACTACCTCAAATAACTATGTAAGTCAGGCATTAGAGCTTTTCCTAGTCATAAAACTAAAATGGACAAGAAATCATACCTGAAGATAGGTCCCACTATTAAGCTTGAGGTGAACTCTGTTATTATTTCTTTCAACATAAAATGTTTCGGTTCTTGATGGTGATTCTGCTGTCGAAGAGACAGATCCCCCATCGCCATCACATGTCAGAAATTGGCCTTGAGAGGTGCGAAACTGGAATTCTGACTCAGATACTCTCCATAACTGCAGGAAAAGACGTTAATCAATAAACAATCTCCATACATAACACAGTTACTTTAAAATGTCATATAGTGACACCTAAATATATGAACTAGGAAGCCTGAATGCTTATAAGAAAGTGTTGTGTATGCGGCTGACACGTGTTAAGCACCAACACTCGCCAGACAATCTGGGACACATGTTGGACAAGCACCAAAATGTTTCGTATTATTCTTTTGAATTTGTTTAGAACTGGACACACCTTGGAAACTCAGGTGACGTGTTCAATGCTTAGATGAGCATGAAACACATTGCGAGTTTGAGAAAATAACTTGGGCAACAATACAATAAAATAAAAATATTGTGGATGTATATACCTATTAATCCCTCATTTTTAGACTTTTTAGTTTGAGTAGTCATAAAATCCAAAACTTGCAATTTATTTATGAATAGAACTTTTCTAAAATAGGTGTTAGCACTTAATTTCACACTTCTTTTCCAATATGAAGAATGTGAAAAAATTTCTTACTATGTTCATATAATAAAATAAAAATGTATTGTAATATAAAAAATGAACAAATACTTATTTCATGTGTACATATAAATACATATATATTTATTTGTTGTATTATCCCTACTGTGTCATGTCCTTTTTTTTTTTTCAAAATATCATATCAACGTGTTTGTATTGTATTATACATGTGTCCCATGGGCTGGAAAAATAGGGGGAAGCCCATGAATGTGCAATAACATCGGCCCCAATCCATCGAGGAAAAACCCCAGAATCCACACCCTTGACACTAGGGGCCAACATACATTGTTTAAACTCATATCCACTTAAAAGCTAAAACCTACAAGTGGTGAGTAGGGGTATGCAAGAAACTTGCCTACCCATCCAAACTATCAGCCAACATGAGCCAACCAGATCTGCCACCTCCATTTTGAGAGTTTTGGCAGGTTAGGTTCTCAGGATACACACTAAATTTGTGAATGTTCAATTGTGTGAGATTTAGTATCTCCAACTTGCTCAAATATACGACCGACCATCCAGTATTTATATAAATATATTAAACACTTCAACCCTAAACAGATTTTCTAATTTTCTAACGTTCATCTCTGCTTCTAAATCTCTCAATTCTTATTGTGGCCACCCCAATACTCCCTATCATTACCTCTCACAGTCATTACCAGCCACCACCACCTCCTCCATCTTCCCTCTCTCCCATACCCCTCTCATTGCCCATGCCCCTACAGCCCTACCTCCGCCCTTATCAGCTCATCATTTTTGTTTTATTATTTACCTTAGACCATAAACATTCAAGTTTACGAAAGTTCATTACATGCTTCGATTCTAAACTGTTGGCAAAGTTTCTTGAACACAGGTATATAATTAAGCATTTCTTTTATTTTGATATGTAACGTCACAATTACAGTATAAGGCTTATGACTTTAGAATGTGTTCATACAAACCTGCCTACCCACCAGTTTTGAGGCTATGTGGGTGGCGGGTTGATGGCAGTGGGTTAAGAAATTGTCAACCCATTGAAGAGGTGGTTTGGTTGAGATTATTTTCCCCAAACCACCCATACCATACCAACCCACATACACCTGTAAATAAAACCATCTAATGTATATTAAGTCTCACTCTTTTTGATTTTTATTTTATGTGGGACTCTACCTTCACACATGTTCCAACAAACTTTCCCTCAAGTGTGAACCAAACATCGGGCCTAGCCTAGCTTCCCCCTCGAGTTCGATTTACCATCCGCAGATTCAGGTTCACCATATGTTGTATCCACTCCATCTTAATTATAATTTATTACTTTACAACACTATTGTCCAACCTGGGCCACCCATACACACTCCATCAAGAGCCACCATGTTGGAGCCACCATGTTGCAAGAACATTAACTGCATGCACCTGGATTTTCCTTGCTCCAACAAGAGTTACCTATGTATTTTTCCTGCTCCATCAAGAGCCTTAGTGCAAGTCCACCAACATCAGTTCAACCAAAATAATCTGCCCATAATTGTTGTTGGATATGATATCACTTGTTGGAGAATCCGAGGAGCACCCACAAACGAGCAGCAATATCATCCCAATTCGTCAGGGAGTAACTGAGTAGTCCACATGCACACACACACAATAGCAAGAAGAATCAATCAAAAACAAGTAAAGCACGACACACAGATGTAGATTACCTACATCCATGACTCACACTAGTTCCACTGTTGAAAGAAGTTAACAGTTTAATGTGGCTCTTTGTGTAGACAACAACATAGATGCTAGGTTTACATCAAGTATGCGTATGTATCTGTCTTTTTAGTTTATTAAACTCTGTTTGGCGCATGAGCAAGGACATCACTGTCATAGCATTCAATCATAAATGATAAAATAAGACCTCTAGGTAATATTGTGACTAGGCATTGTCATGCTTCAGGGCCTTCTAGCAAACATAACAAGATATTTAAGGGTAAATGAGAAAACCACAACCATATACATGATTAAATTAAATAGCGAAATTTTCTAAAAATACCAAATGCACTTCATCCTTTTTTCTTTTTCTTTTTTTAAAGCACCGCGTGCGTAAATCACCTTTCATTCATTTTCACTACAAATAACTTAGACAAGAAGTTTTTGGACAAAGCTCAAATAGAGTTGAATAGATGGACTGTATCCATGTAGTAAGCCCCAAAAAAGTTGGATAAGGCTCCACACTTGAGTGAGACAGTCATGGAGATGGCTTAAAACATCTCTCTCCCCTTCTCTTTTAATGAAGCCTTTAGCTCTCTAAACAGAACTTATTTCAATAGCATGTTGCTATAAGGTCAAAACAGTAACAATCCCACATGCTTCCATGTATCGTAATAAGCATGTGCTTGATTGACCAGTCAAAACCTTCTGCCACTACAGTGAGAGATTAAAGGTTAGATTTCCTTATTACATTATGCTTAAGAAAGTGCATATCAAACTCCGTGGGTAAATATGGCCCAATTTACAAGACTTGCATCACTTGAATTGGTTTAAAGGAAATGCAATACATTGAATGTGAATTATAATATCAAAAGTCCTATATTATCAGTTTCAACTAAATCATACTTGAACTCACATTGCGGTCTTACTTGCTAGTCAATGCATCAAACCCACAAAGACTTGGATATTTGTGGAGGTTTTGCCTAAGTGCTGCAATTTCTTTCAGGTAAGTCAGGATAGATTACGAATTTTTTTACAAGTAGACAATAGAGGATAATTATTGAATTTCATTACCTGCTAAAGTTCTAATTTACTGTGCATATTCCTAAATTTCCAAAAACCTCCCTTTAAAGTCATTATCTTAGAATGGGAATCTTTTTATTCGGATTAAGCTATTTACTAGATCTGCATTCTAATTTTCAGACAACTATCGTTGCAATAGTACTAATAACAAGTTAATCACAAACACCTTTTAGCTAGCAATCGCACATTCTGCTAATAGATACACAAAGATATGCATCATATTGGACCAATTCTCTAATCAAATGTGCATTAGAATGTTGCAAAATTTAAATCTATGCAGCATTATATTTACTACTTTCATTTATTTATTTTCTATTTGTACCACTGCATTTTTTATACCTATGCAGTGATGCAACAAAAAAAATATATATATATATAAAACATGCTGAAAGAGAAAAGAAAACAAAAACATTTTTTACAGATATCAACACATAAAAAACCAAGAAATGATTAGGAGACACAAGAATGAGCAATTTGGTTAGGCATCTCACTGTAAAGGTTTCCCATGAAGAAGGAATGTCTCTGTCAACTGTAACATTCATGCCACCCCCATTCTCTGCACTCACATACTTCTGCAATGTCACAGATTTGAGTTGGACATATGTTCCATCCTACATTTCAATCTCCATGAATAGTTTAGTCTCAGTAACTCAGAAAGAATCCCAATTAGCAATCAAATTATGAGTGCAAGAACTCACAAGCATGTCTCCGTTGGGAATGCCATCAAAAAGAGAAGGCTTAATCCAGCCTTCCACTACCAACCATCCACCCAAATTCACTCCTCTTACTTTTGAATCTCCATGTATTCCCTCCACTTAAAACACAGAAAATAAAAAAATGAAGAAACCAAATTGGGTTATGTAGTATCAGTTTTTCAAAATGTACGTAGAGCATTTTCAAGAATCAATCAAGAAATTCAAGAAAATGGAGTTATAGAGCTAACCTGAGCATACAACAGTGAAGATGAGCAAACAACTAAGTAGAAATGCAAATACCCATTTGCAGAGAACAAGTTCCATGTAGAATGCAGGCTACAATTGCATCAGATCAGCAAAAGTAAACTATCCATCTGCAAAGGAAAGCAAGAAACCCAATATAGAAAGACAGATTATTCAAATCCTCCCAAGAACCCTTCTGAGTAATTCCTTCCTTATTATTGAATTAATTCCAAATAGAACATTGTAAACAACCATAAAGAATTGAAGATCTTGATGATTTTATTCTTTTATTACAATATTAAATTGTTGAGGCAATCCCTTAAGAGTGTAGACAAAGACAAAACCCACTAATAAGAAATTCAGAGAAGAAGTAAAGAACAATATTCTCAAGGTGCAAGAAAGGGAAGGTAAAAGTGTGTACACGTATGGATATGTAAAAGCTGAATATGAAGCGAAAGGGCTGCTTTTGATTGGTAGATTTTGGGTTGGGCTATGATTCTTGACTGGTTAAGTAAACAAAGGTTAGAAAAAAAGGGGCTTTTATGATGGACAAACTAGTAAAGGGGTGGTTCCACCACTCTACCCCTTATCAATATATGTTTGTCTTGGTTTGATTTGATTCATTCATGCCTCAAGCCTGAGCTTGCTTTGTGGGTGCGGTGTAGTGTGGGGAATAGAGATCAAACAAATTTTTTCAAATTTTGTTTTGGGCTTGAGTTTGGTTTAGAGCATCTCCAATGGTAGTAGGCATTTTACCTATCTAAATATTACTATAAAATATACATTTTATTTTGCCTATCAACGATTTCATGTTTCTGCCCCAACCATGCTCTTTATTTTAGCTATTCATCCAAATACTATTAACTTTATAGAATGCCACGTCAGCAACAAAGATGGTGGGAAATAATCTTAATGATTAAATACATTTTGCCTAGCCTTGAAGGCTAGCTACATGTAGCTAGTGAATGTGAGCTGAGCCAAAATGCCTAAGCATATGCCTAGTGCATTGGAGTTGAAAAAAGTGAGTCACATTAGGCATTTTGACTAACAAGCATCATATGCCTAGTGGGTTGGAGATGCTCTTAGCCAGCATTTTTAATATTGATATTGATTTGTCCTCGTGTCCTGAAAATTACACCATCTTTATTGGTGAATTTATTTGGTGCAAGTTCATTCTTTTTTTATTTATTTGTTTTTTTAGTTTTTTTTTTTTTTTTCCTACTTATCAGATTTACACGTAAAAAATTGCATGTATAGTGTAATTTTTTTAGATGGCCCTACTAGTAAGCAATTGTTCCTTAATTTTATGAGAAATTTATTAAAAAGTCTTCATTTGGGAACTGTTGCACCAGTTGGTCCTACGTTCTACATGTTTGATTGCCAAGTATTTGTAGTGTTGTGACCAAGAAGTCCTTTTTCAAATGTAGCACGATATTGGTTGGACGGATATGCCCTCATTAGTTTATTGCGAAAAGTTTATGTGGTTTTGGAATTTGCCACCACACGTTTTTGGAGAGGGGGATATTCTGTTTCGAAAGATTGCAGAGGGGGGAAGAAGAGGGTTTTGCATCACTTCTGTGCGTGAAGTGGACGAGGGTTTTCACAAGTGCCGTCAATAGTGTCGGCCGTATTCAGGTATGTCACGTTTTCAACAGTTCGTCACATTTGTTGAACCATGGGTGAGTATTCGTCGTATACACGTTTTACTGCACACCAGAATCAATCTTTTTTTTTAAATGTCAATGGTGAATACTTTAGGAAATCTGACTTCTATCAGTGTGGCACGAACATGTCAAAAAGGGTGTTGTCATGTGTGATCGTTCGGTTACTATGAGAACACAAACCCATGACGCGATTTGTTCACCATCTATATGTTACCATTCATTACTGTTCATTCACCACTGTTTGATTGGGACATGATTTCAATCTCTGTATCACATATCTAACACAATAAAGTAATGTTTTCATCGATTTTTTAACGAACACTGTTAAAATACGTTTAATGTTAAGGGCACGCATTATCTGACACATACATAGTCGTATTTGTTAACAACTGCATGGTTTCTCTTACATATGGAATCCTTTTTCATGCTTCTATGTTGTTACCACTCCATCAATGTTGCATACGAACTGCAACCACCATACAATTTCGCAAACCTTGTCGATTTCGTGTATACCAAATACAATGAGCTACTATCGGGGGAAGTAGTGCTGTTTTACAAGATTCCGAGGTACAACAATTTTTCTCTGCAGAACAACGTGAACATGCAGAACATGGTGTATCTGGCCCGTTCATTCCATTTGCAAATGGTTGACGTGATCATTGAACATCACCGTGGGGAAATAAACAATCCTCATGGTGATGACCAATCCAACACAAGGGCAGCGTCTCCGGACGGGACAAGGGCACGAACCAATTTGGATTTTGATGACAAGGTTGACTTACTGCCAGCTTTTTGCACACACAATGAGAAAGTGTTCCTTTTAACTCTATGGGCGACTGGTTTCACTCACATAGAGCAGTATTTTGAAAGTGGAGCTTTGGAGTTCCGTAACGTATTACGTAAATTTGTTGTCGAATGTGAGTTCCAGTTTAAATTCAAGAAAAATGACTCCGCTCGTATAATAGCTGTTTGCGCAATGCATGTAACAAATAGGTGTACCTGGTTTGTTCATGGCCGGAAGTTAGAGGCGAACGGGTTTTTCTACCTGCACAAGTGGAACAGTGAGCATATTTGTAGTGTCCGTTCGTACTTCGAAAACCCCGCTTGTTGGGTCGGAATTAGTAGTGGACATTATCGTCGAATGGGTACGTGACAAGCCGCTCACACGCCCCACTGAAGTTATCGTTGATTTGAAACAAGATTACGGTCTGGACATTACTTACCGTGTCACGTGGTTAGGAGTCGAGAAAGCTAGGGGTGATCTCTTTGGTGCCTATTCAAGTTCGTTCGATCAGTTACAATGGTATAGTGACGATGTCATGGAACACAACCTCGGAAGCTACATGAACATGGAGTACGATGACCACACACATGTTCATCCGATGCTTCATGTCATTCAAAGCTTGCATTGACGAGTTCAAACATTGTCATCCGCTGTTATTTGTGGACGCCACATTCCTCAAGGGTCAGTTCAAAGGATTCTTGCTCGCCGCCACTACAAAAGACGGCAACCAAGGCCAGTCCATCGCGCTGCCCAATTAACAATAAACCACTAACCTTGTAACTGAACAAGTTGCCTACAAACTCACGCCCATTTCTCCCACACACCCCCAACACATGCCACTCACACCCCATCCTCAACACTAAATGATTAACACACACACTTTGTGTTTGGTAGGTTTATTTCCACTTGCATACGTAGTGGTTGACTCTAAAAATACCACGAACTGAGCCTGGTTCCTTTAACATCTTGTCCAGGTGGTCAACGAGGCCAGACCACTCACGTTCATTTTAGATTGGAATACGGGTTTACTTAAAGCGATGCCTACTGTATTCCTTAATGGGAAACATGCTTTCTGCCTCCAACATCTATAACAAAACTTGAAGGACAGGTTACGTTATTCCAACAGCATGTACCGTGCTGGTCTGATCAGCAAACTATGTCATTGCGCGCACGCACCAACCGTCGACGCATTCAACTAGAAGGTTGAACAATTCCACAAATCATGACGTGTGGTTGCAACCCAATTTCTTAAAACTGCGCACCCACAACATTAGGAAAATACATTCTTCCAGTATGCATATTTGGCTTTACTGATAAATTTCTTCATACAACTCATGTTCACACACCCACTACCCCATAACAGCATACACCTAACTATTGCTTCACATTGTCATTTACAATGGCAGACGTTATAGCGAAATGTACTCCAACACCACTGAGTTATTCAACTCATGGATACGTGAGGCACACAATCTCCCAATTACCTACATGATTGATAGCATCAGAGCCAAATAATACGACAAATATCAAAATGTCGGGTGGCAGCCCAAACATGGACTGGTGCAATCTGTCCAAAATGAAATCTCATTTGGAAAAAGCTTTCAACAAAGGTAGATCCTGGAAAGTTAGTCAGTCAAATGTAGACGTATATGAAGTCCATTCATTCCCGTTAGTCACTATTAATGTCAGTAGGTGTACATGTTCGTGCTTCCAGTGGCAACTCAACGGGTTCCCCTGCGCGCATGCTATGGTCACCGTTTGAAAAAGCAATAGGGATCTAAACAACTTGGTCAAACCATTTTTCCATCAATCTGAATACCGTTTGACTTACGCATCAGCCATTTACCCAATATCTACCATGGAACAACCACCATTTAACCTAAATGAGCACATTATCAAGCTTCCTATAGTGAAATGCCCACCAAGCAGGCCAAAGAATAAGCGATTCCTATCAAAGGGAGAACATGTCCAATAAATCCGTTGTGGATGTTGTGGTTGCATGAGGAACCACAACAAAAAGACATGCAACGAACCAATATAGTCCACCGTCAACTGCTCACCATGAACAACATAAAACTTTATAAAAAGTCGTCATGATGTAACGACACCAATAAAATGATGAACATCTACTATTACTATGTCCCACTATCACAAACTTATTATTCATTTATTTCCGTCAAATAAATTGTTTTACAAAACATCCCTTAGTATGTTTCACACTTTCTCCCACCACCATGTGCATTATATTAGTATAGTGCTTAATGATACCAAAAACAGCAGAACCCATCCACACCTCCTTTTCCATTCAACCAACGTGTCTCACATGACTCCCGCCGGCAAACAAAATGTCACATTGCACGATCACCTCATGCCACCTCCAACTCCACTTTAACATATCACCACAAGGACCCCACCAAACTTGCACAACAAAAAAGATTATTAAAAAAAAAAACCCAACCTACTAATAACTAAGCCCCACGCCAGTAGTAAAATCGGTAAGACGAATTGTTGCCCTTAACCTGACCACGACATTGGAATCGCCTTATTAACCACTCTGACTTCTCTACATAGCACTACTACACACATTGAACACATACAGCAACAACTAATGACCCACATGTACGTGTTACACATAAAACCAATAAAGTCGTGTACGACATGACAACACACCATTCTTCTCCACTATTTAGCCCTCAAAGTAAACATTATAACTGCCAACCAATGCGTGCCGCTACACAAAATTACATAGCTTAACGTGACACCAACCACACCACCAAAACCCAACAATACCACCCAAACAAATACACCACAAGTCAACCCTATCACATCAACACTTATATGCAGCCAACTGCAAGCCACATTCGCCTAACACCCTCCAACTATGCTCATATGAATCACAAAACAATTAGACACAGGTCAAACTTTTGCATTTACCAACCCTTCTCACCCGCTCAATGTCGTAACATCGGCAGAAACACGTAACACCCACCTTATAACCTTCAACAAACAACAACAAACATTTACACCCACATACACAGTAAAACAAAAATGCAACAATTCATTACCATTAAAGAAACAAATAAAACGTAACTCTACAGTCGTCACCGAAAGTTAACCAAAGAACAGATAACACAAAAGCGACAAATCTGTCCTATAAAAAAAACAAAACCATATCCGGTCATATGGCACAAAACAACCTAACTTTGTCCGGAACACTGTCATACTA